TGTATGTATGTATGTATGTATGTATGTATGTATATGTGTATGTATATATATATATAATCGAATGAACAAACAAATATACATATGTAGACGAATAAATACATACATAAAGAATTATCTAGATACATAGATAAACAAATAAACAAATATAAACAAATAAACATATATATATACATATACATACAGCGCCCCAAAGTTTAGGAGTCAAACCCCCATAGACTCCTTCTTTGGACAGGTTAGGCTTTGGTGCTCCCGAGGTCGCCGCAGTACTCACGGAGTGGTCGTTCCTCGGAGCAAGCAGGGCGTCCATGCGGGTTTAGGGTTTTAGGGTTTTAGGGTTTTAGGGTTTAGGGTTTAGGGTTTTAGGGTTTAGGGTTTAGGGGTTTAGGGTTTAAGGGAATGACCCGAACCGTTTAGGATGTGGTGGTTTTAATTTGCATTAGGGTTTTCGGGTTTAGGTGCTTAAGGTTGCGGCTCAAGCCTTCCAGGCTCACGTGTGAATAGGTACGTATTGAAGACCATGTATGCGAGGTTGGAAGGGTATCTCAGAGTCCACCGAGTTTAACATTGCATCCTACGTACGGATCTTAAGATCGCCACCTGCAAGTGACTGCAGCAGCACAGGCTGTAATACCGTAAGCCAAGGAACCTACCGCTCCGTTCAACGTGCCGGAAGCGAACATCTTCCCGCCCAAGAACACCCGAACTCCGGCCACAGACGCTTGGCCGGGTTTCTGCCAAATCTCTCGTCAGTATATACCTAAACCCTAAACCCTAAACCCTAACCTGCAACTCTCATCTCCAAACCCTCGTCTAGAAACCCTCAACCCTCAACCTAAATCCCCAAACCCTCATCCCCAGCCCCTAAACCCAAAACCTGACGGTTGATGATATAATTCCTGGATTACCTCAAGGACCCTAAACTATGGGAGTTTGTGGTATTATTCCTTACTATGGGTAATGCAGGATTTATATCATCAACCTTCTCAAAAGGCAACCCTAAACCCTAAACCCTCAACCCCAAACCCCTAAACCCCTAAACCCTAAACCTTCTCCAAAGGCGAGGAACATGGACACCGAGGGGTTGTACATGACTTTGAAGTCGGGATTCTCGGCGAGCTTGGCCCGAACCTTCCCGGCAAATCTGTGTTTTGGGCGCTCCGGGCCCGAGGCTTCAGGCTTTATGGGGTTTCGCGTTTGGGCTTTAAGGGGTTCGGGTTTTAGGGTTTAGGGTTTAGAGGTTCCGGTTTAGGGCTAGGACGTTTTAGAGTTTAGGGGTTAGGGTTCGGTTTCAGGGTTTAGGCTTTAGAGGTTCGGGGATAGGCTTTAGGAGTTCGGATTTAGAGTTTAAGCTGTAGGGGCTAGGGTTTAGGGTTTAGAGTTTAGGGTTTAGAGTTTAAGGCTTTAGAGTTTAGGGGTTAAAGGGTGTAGAGCCATACACCACAGTCAAATCCGCACGCCCAGCTTACTTTCGGATCATCCTTGACCCCAGCTGCATGTCGCTGCCATCGGGCCTTGTCTACGTGCTTCTGCGAATCGAAGAAGAGGTGCGGCCTGAGCTGGGATGGATCCTAAACCCTTTTGTAGGGGCCTCAATACTTAGAATAGGGTTTTGGGGCCCAGTTTTTGCTATGATTATAATAAGGACCCCCCAAAAAATAGTATGGGTAATTGTTAAAACCTCTATACCCAGCTAAACCCTAAACCCCTAAACCCTTAAACCCCTAAACCCCTAAACCCTAAACCCTTGGGGTGGGGCGCCTCTGGAGTCGAACCCCTCACCCCGAAGTCTCAAACCCTAAAGCCAAAAGCACCGCCTTTACGGTTCAAACTCCATAAGGATTAATTAAAAAACCAAGCCTGCTCCTTTTTAGGGTTTAGGGGTTTAGGGGTTTAGGGTCTAGGTTTGAGGGTTTAAGGGTTTAGCGTTTAGGGGTTAAGGGTTCTATAACCCGAGCCTGCTCCTTTTAGGGTTCAGGCCGAAACCCACTCAACAACGCGGCCCGGCGAGCTTAACCCAAAACGTGACACCCAAATCCTAAATCCACTAACTTCGGTTTAGGGTTTAGGGTTAGGGCTTAGGGCACGAAGGGAAGCCACAGCAAGGACCAAAGGCGAACCCCCCCCCCCAACAGCTTTAAACTCTGAACTCTCCACTGCAAGGCCTGAACTAAGTCCGCAAGCCTGAATCCAAAAACCCTCCGGTGTAAGGCGAAGCCCTCAAACCTCACGCTGAAACCACAAATCGTCAACCGTCAATCTGTCGGACTGCAGGGACAATCTTCTTCACCATGGGAAGTGGGATGAAGGATGTGTGGTAGAGTAAGAGAAACAAAGGCAGCTGATGCTGCTTGTATCCCCAGCTAATGTAAGGGGCCTTAATAATTAGAATAGGGTTTGGGGGTTCACTATACCATAACTATGCTAAGGAACACTAAGCAATGTTACGGGTAATCTTTGTCGCCTGTATATTGAATCCGAAACGCCTTCGTTTGCGAGTTTTCCGCCAACTAAGTTAACCCTGCCAAACAACAGAACCCACATTCGAGGACGCTGAATTTGGGGACACTCGTTTTTCGGAAGGCCCCTGAGCTTGAGGAATTGAAGCTTCTTCCACACGTCTGCTTAAAGGACGGGGCATCGGCAAAATGCCTTTTTGGAAATGAAATCGAAGCCCTGTAGAAACATCAAAAAACCACTAGATAATATAAGCTTCTCTTCCCCACCTTCTTTTGACACATCAAAAGATCCCTTAGTTTTTTTTATAGGCTTCTTTTCACCTAAACCCTAAACCCCAAAACCACAAAACCCCAAGACCCTAAACCCCAAACCCCAAAACCCTAAACACCAAAACCCCAAAACCATGAACCCTAAACCCTAAACCCCAAAACCCTAAACCCTAAGCCCCAAAGGCCCTCAGAGCCTCAGCTCATCTCAGGACGAGGCCGGGCTCTGCGCTGCGCCTCATCACGGGACCTGAGAGGACCAGGCTGCATCGCTTTAGGGCGTTGAGGGTTTTAGGGTTCCTTAAAAGGTTCCTTAAAGGGTTCCTTGAAGGGATCTATAGGGTTTAGGGCTTAGGGCTTTCAGGGTTTAGGGTTTAGGGCTTTGAGGGCTTTGAGGTTTTAGGGCGTTTAGGGTTTTTTAGGGCCTTTGAGGGTTTAGGGCGTTGAGGGTTTAGGGTTTAGGGCGTTGAGGGTTTAGGGTTTAGGGCTTTGAGGGTTTAGGGTTTAGTGCTTTGAGGGTTTAGGGTTTAGGGTTTGGGGTTCGGGTTCTGGTTTTTGTTAGGGAACTTCATTCAAGGAACCAAGGTGTCGCAGGGGTCTGGGTGGGACCCCCCCGATTGCGGCAAGGCTACACTGCTACAATCGCAACTCACCCTTAAATCCCAAGCCCGAGACGGAAAAATAATTCTTAAACCGGCCTAAACCCCACAACCTCAGAACCTAAGCTTCCCCCCTCCCTCAACCCTAAACCCTAAACCCTAAAACCCTAAACCCTAAACCAAAAGCCCACCCACCCATACTCCTCCCGAGAGCAGGGCTTGCAAAGCTCATAGTCGACCATGCTGGCCTGGCCAGCTTCAGCCGCAAACCAGGGGTTGATGATGCAAATCCTGCATTACCCATAATAAGGAATGTACCATAATTCCCATAGTTTAGGGTCCTTAAGGTAATGCAGGATTTATATCATCAACAGTAGTGCAAATGAATTACAGGATAGAGGGCTATACCTTTTTAGGGTTCCTTGTTATGGTTTCCTTATAAAAGTCCTTGAAAAGGTAGGTTTTTTGGGGTCTAGGTAGGGTTTACGAAACCTCCAAACCCCCAAGCCAAGCCTCTGCGGTTTAGGCTTTAGGGTTGGAAGGTTTAGGGGGTGTTAGGGCTTGTGGTCTTTACTGGCTCCTAAACCCTTAGTTGCTGAGTTCATAGGACAGTTCAAAACTCATATTAGTCATTGCATGATTCGCACAGCCACCGCATCGAGATGCTAATCTGAATATATATATATATAGAACACCACGGATAAGCCTCGTTTTGACTCTACACTGCACTTGTGCGGTTTGGTTGGTAATTCGAGGATTGCTGGTAGTGTGAACTTGCACAGTTTATCCCATTTTGATATACATGCTTTTGTCTGTTCTTTTGTGATCTGTTTGTGTTTGTGTGGTGCTCCGTGCTGAGGTTGATACAATTGTAGTTGTATAGGAGGTCATGCAAGACAGGTCTTCGATGTTGGACTTACGCCCCTTTTCACTTTCAAAAGAGAAAGGGGTTTAACCTAGGAACGAACCAGAACCCTGAGAGACCCTGAAACTACCCAAGGCCCTGGTGGTGGTAGAGCTTGGTCTGCTGGGTGTGGTGGAGAACGATGTTGGAATCCTCGCGCGGGAGTCTTGCAAGCTGGGAAGCAAGAAACGCTAACACAGGGAATTTGAACTGCAAACCTTCAATCACTCAGCATCTTCGCTTCATTTGCATGTCCCGTGCTGGATGTGTTATGGAAACTGTGTCTGTAGCTTGCACAGACGATGCTATTCATACCTGGCAAGGCAGTACACCTCCAAAACTGCTTTGTTGCATTGCAACAAAGCATGCAATCGCATCAAAGGCGGCACACTACCGAGACGGAAAGGCCTGCCCTCCTTCTTGGTATCGTGCCGCGATTGCCGCGTTTTGGAAGGAATATCTGTAGTCAGAATGCATGTCATAAGGCTAGCCAGGAGTGATCAACATATTTGTATAATCTGGAACTCGGAATGCAATGAACTAGTTGTCCTCTTCGTGGCAGTACGGCAGCCAATGACATGCCTTGTAGGTTTCATAGAATGCAGTCAAAAATACAATCCACTTCGCTCCGACTGTCACATTTGAGACAAGCCCACCCAAGCAGGCACGGACAGCTGCCAATGCACGAATGTAAGACACGACAAAGAATGAGGCTAGCAAGGAGTGCTCAAAATACTTCTGCAATCTGGAACTCGGAACTCGGAATGCAATGAACTAGTTGTCTTCTTCGTGGCAGTATGGCAGCCAATAATATGCTTTGTGGGTTATATAGAATGCAGACAAAAAAAAACTCCACTTCACTCCGGCTGTCACCTTTGAGAAAAGAACACCACAGTCCGCATCTCCTGGGGGCATCCTGGGAGCACTTTCGACAAGACTCTTCGCAAATGAGCTGGAAAAATGCTTGTAGATGTTCTCGTCAATGTCGCTGATGAATTCGGCTGCGAGGCAGTTCAAGACGACATCTGAGGTACCCCCTGACACGATGATGAAATATGCGCCACTGTAGCCAACGGCAAGCTCCACAAAGAACTTGGCCCCGAGAACCAAGAGGGTTTGAGCGAGACCCCAGCCACTACTGAGAGGCTCATGCTCAGCTCTCGTTTTTCCCGAACTTGTGCTCCCGGCAGCCAAATATGGGCTTCCCGCTACATACATCTTGATGAAATAGATGGCCTCTTCGATGATGCCAAAGAGCTGCTCCAGTCTGGACAACCCCCATAGAAACAGTCCGCCCCATACCAGGGGGAAGTCCACGTCAGGTGACTTGCAGCCTGTGGAGTGAGCAGCCTGGTACAAGTACCCAGCTGCACCAAACCGCAAGACATTGGAAAGCAACAGGAAGATGACCTCCTGTCCCAACCAAAAAAGGCTGAACATGTACTGGCTGACCCCACCCACGTCAGGATGCTTCCCCTTTCTGTGGTAAAAAAGGTCATGAAAGTTCATCATGATCACTGCATTGTCGATATTCTCTCCAAGCCTGAACGCTTCAATGCTGGGCTCTTCGGGCGGCACGATTTCTGGCGTGTCCACAGTGATTGTAACAGATTTCCCATCAAGACCCTCTGATGCGAGAAGCCTCCGCTTTTCTGTGGATGAAAGGGACATCGATCTGGGCGTCAGCGTGAAAGTACACCCTTCAGCTACGATGGGAATGCGGAGCCAAAATCTTACATGCAGGTGTGGACAGTGTGGACAACTGCGTGCGAACAAGCCAGCAAAATGAAGCATCGACGCAGGTGCTTGATTAGACCGAAAGCTTGTTGAGACGTAAGCTGCCAGAATACAAGGATAATGGGTTAGGGGGCTTCTGCAGACTCGTGTATTGCTCAAGCCCTTCGCCTGGTATGATGGGCAGGTCGGTCCTTGAGGATTCGTCGAGGCCCCCATTGTGGCAGCCGTCGGGATCATCTCTGGAAGATGCGCCCAAACCTGTATCCTTCAATATCAAAGCCTCAAGAAGAACAACGACATTTTCTCAAATGTAGTTCTCGTAGAAGCAGAGATGTCAACGCTACTGGTAGTCAGTCAGAAGACTAATCAATACGACAACGTTGCTTTGTCCTGCAGATATCGTTGATGTCAGCAGACATGTTGTTCACGGTATGCTGCGGTCAAAGGATCAGGGAGAGGCAGTAGGGTCATAAGTTAGCTTCAGGCTATACGAGCCATAAGAACCCGGGACATCCGACAAGAATACCATAGCCATAGCATACGTATGATTAAGGAATAATGTGGGTAATGATGTAATTTAGGCCCGTAGCGCCCTGGACCCTGAACCCCAAACCTCACACCTTAGACCCTAAACCCTGAACTTTCAACCAACTCGGGTTTAGGGTTTACCTAGACCCCAAAGAACCTACCTTTTTCAGGACTTCTATAAGGAAATCATAGTAAGGAGCCCTAAACATGTAGGCTTCCTAACTAACGTCCAGGTAGGCCTTGCCCAAGGAAGGCATTCCGGCTTCCTTGCGCCTCTTGACCTTCTGGACGAATCTCTGGGGCTTGGCATGATTTTTCACTAGAGGCACAGGGTCTAAGGTTTGGGGTTTACGTTTCGGGTTTGGGGTCCTTAAGGACTTGGGGTTTAGGGTTTGGGGTTCTTAAGGACTTGGGGTTTAGGGTTTGGGGTCCTTAGAGACTTGGGGTTTAAGGTCCAGTGCCCTCTGAGGGCTTGGGGTTCAGGGATTTAGGGATGTAGGGTTTAGGGGCTTCGTGAATTGCAAGAGCTAGGCGGCTTTTATTCCGATTGGGGTTCTAAGCCGCAATGATGGTTTAGTTGTGAAGCAAATGTTCTGTTTTTTGAACTGTAAGGCTTAGCTTGTTTCGTGGGAACGGGACCCATTCTAATCACAAGGATCCTAACAGAGGGTTGTAGGCCTACTGTAGGGGGTTTGGTTTTCAAGGTTGCGGAAGGTGTTCAATTAGGGTTTTTATGGTTTAGGGTTTAGGGTTTAGGCTATAGAACCCCTCTTGCCACCATGAGCAAGCATCGTTTCAGGACCCACTGATCCGCACCGGAGCCCGAGACCGTCATTGCAGCCAAGTTCACAATGCACCCTAAGCCCACGACTTTCTTCCCCAAGAAGCCAGGGAAATAAAAGGTTAACCTCTCAGATTACTACGAAGTTATAAGAGCCCAAAAGGTTGGGTATTGGAGAACTAAGAAGAGCTTCAGCAGTCGGGATCGACCCAGTGCATGTTGGGTTGAGGGCTGCGCAATCCTCCAGTCCCCTTTCAATTCATGCAAGGAAAAACCCTAAGCCCCAAAAGACAAAGCAAAGCGTACACACGAGCAGCATAGAACTAGGTGGGATTTCGTTGGCGGAGGCGTGCGGGAGAAAATCACAACCCTAAACCCTAAACCATAAACCCTAAACCCCTAAATCACAAACCCTAAACCAAAGACACCAAACCCTAAACCCCAAGGAAGCCTACACTTCAAGCTGTGACCGCAATGACAACCATAATCCTCTACACACACCTGCATACCTAAATACATACATCTATGTATATATAGATAGATAGATAGATAGATAGATAGATAGATAGATAGATATGTAAATCTGTATGTATGTATAAGCAGAAATAAATATATGTGTGTATCTGCATTGGGCTCTGTTTGTATGGGCCTCCTCGATCATCTCGTCGAGGTCCGTCTCGCGGTTGATAGACGTGATGGACACTCCCCCTGACATGCGGTTGATGGTATAAATCCTGCCTCACCCATAATAGCGAATATACCAGAATTCCCATGGTTTAGCGTCCTTAAGGATATACATCCTGCATTAAGCATAATAAGGAATATACCAGAATTCCCATAGTCTAGGGTCCTTGAGGTAATGCAGGATTTATATCATCAACAGCATGGCTAGTTTAGGGCTCCTACTTGGAGCTTCAATTATTCTTAGGGCTTCTCTTTGAGTGTTTCATAAGGGCTTCATAAGGTTTACTTGGAGGTCCAAGGACTTCGCAATGAGGGTTATAAGCAACCCTAAACCCTAAACGCTAAACCCTAAATCCTAAGGTAGCTATAGACGGCCTGAAAGGCTCCTTTCAGGGGAGCCCGTAAAGGAAGCCGAGGAGCCCCACTTACTTCGTCCCCTGATCCTCTAAGTACGGGTCGCGATTCGGTTTAGTGTTTAGGGTTTAGGGTTTAGGCTGAAGGCATTGTGGGGTTTTGAGGTTTGGGGTTTGGGTTTAGGGCGGAGGGCTCGCGCCTTCGGGTTTAGGATATGTTCAGGGCTTAGTTGCTGAGTTCATAAGCACAGAAGAGTGTACACTTTCAGTTCTACAAGGTCTCCTGAAGGACCCGGACCGACCAGTAGATCGCCTCGTCATAGAAGCCCGTCAGGGCGACACCAACAAGCTGACACTGATCAGGGACGCCGCACGACTGCTGGGCCTGAACGTGTCGAGAGACCGCCCTCTCGAAGGAGTTCTCATTCTGCCGCTCATAAACACATCCCAGCGCCAGGCGTACAGCAAGGGCATATTCTTGCCGCCAGGATGGAGGCTGATGCTGCCGAGATGCGACGCAGTGTGCGGCGGCCTGGTCAGGGTCTCTGGCTGTTGGCTGTCCTCCATTCACATCCACCATCTGCAGTGTCCTTTTCACGAGCGACACTGACACGGCGAGCAGCTGCGCAGCGCAGCTTGGGCATGCGATGCTTGTCTCCTCTGAGCCCAAAAAGTTTAAAGTGTAGTCATTCAGCTGCTAAGAGGGACAAGGGATCGTGGCAGTGGTTGGGGTTTCGTCGAGGGGTTCGGGTTGTAGGGTTGTGGAAGCTTGCTTGAGTCCTGAGGCGAGGCCGTATATGGCTAGCGCACCCCAAACCGTGATGCCCTAAAGCCCCAGACAGTACGCTCAACTAAACCCTGAACACTAAACCCCAAAGCCCCCAAACCCCAAAACCCTAAACCATGCCACAGCCGAGCCCAAGCCATCAAACTACTGCGGCATAGGGTTTAAGGGGTTTAGGCGGTTTAAGGTTGAGGGCCCGAACCCTAAGCAAATCCTAACGTTCTCGACCTACAAATTTCAAGCCCGGGGTTTAGGAAAAGCGCCCCAGTCATAGCCAAGAAGAGGAAATGACAGGTAGTTGTTGAAGGAGTCTTCTCGGGATATCGACTCGTGAGGTGGTTCTTGAAACAAACGTGGTCAAGGTAGTTGGAGGGTCGGGGGGACTTAGGAAGTGGGTACTAGTCCATACACTCCAAAAACCCGACTACTTGCTAAGTCCTAGACCCGACACCCCAAAGCCCCCATACTAAGTCACACCCCAAGCCGACTACACAAGAGCCAAAATAGAAGCTGCAGAAGACGAGGGACCCCATGACACATGCGCATGAAAGTTCAAACAAAGGAGCCCCTTATGCTTTAGAGCAGCGCCACACGAAGCTGCAACACGTTCATTCTGAAAATTCCCTTCCTAGAATGCTATACGTGACAGCCAAAATCCGAAACCATCTCTGTGGGCGTCAAAGTGATTCAATACAATGAAGTTCGTGGTACATCATACTTTGTGCATGTGAGGACTATAGAGGATCAGGCCCCTTATAGTGGAGCCCAGACCCTCAGCCCTGTAGTCTTAAGTCACCCTAAACCCGAAACCCTAAACCCTAAACCCTAAACCCAAAGCCCCTAAACCCTAAACCCTCTGCCTCCTGGCGGCATGCCTTGGGCAACGCCTTCGGTGGGCACAGAGCCAGCTCGGATGAAGCGCCTTAAATCTCAAAACCAAGAGAAACCTGAAGCCTAAAAAAGCCCTAGTTTAGAGGGGCTGTAATGATTGGGATAGGGTTTTTTTGAGTACTTCGGGGGAGATAATACACTATGCTTATATACACTCTGCTTATATACGAACTACTCAGACCCCTATAATACACCCGGAAGGGCCGTTCCACTATCTAGAACCCTGGGCTCTGAATGAAGGAGCATTTTCGATTCCAATGTGTTTCAACCCACGAAGGCTATCCCAAACTTCTACTGTCCAAGAGTGTAGATATGCAGGATCTTCTTCAGATCTGATCTTAGTTCGGCCGGGAGATGTAGACTGCATAATGCCCTGATGCATGATTCCCGATTCTTCAGGGATCCTCACGACAGAATCCCTATTGTAGTCCTTACTCAGGGGGAGGGGGGTTGGGCCCAG